CGATGTTTACACGCGATTCGTCGATCGGAAGAATGCATTTGCATGCGAACGCGATTCCGGAAAATCCGAGCTTTCCTCCCCCGATTTCACAGGCATTAACAACCATCGTTTCGACTCTCGAACACCTGTTGTGATTCCATCGAATTCTCTCGAATTTCCCCGACCATTCTGCTTTCTCGATCCCCCAAGAAATTTCTATATTTGCCATCGCGTCGTCGATCAAACGTTGCCCGATTTCAATCCGCCAACAATTTCGCCAAGCTTGTCTTTCTGTTGTAGAATTTCTTCTTTACGCTTTATTTCATCTTTCTTCAATTCCTATTATTTCGATTTATTATCTTTACTCTTTTCTTTCTTTTAAATTCATAATATTAATTCACCCTGTAGGGTCGTAGATTATCGATACTTTAAACTTATTCTAAAATTGATGACGTTGAATTCAGTGATACGAGTTGTTCTTCAATTGTTATATACAATAGAATTCCTTGTAGTAATATGATAAGAAAATCTTCAAATAATTATATAATTTTTTATATTAATCTTAGAATAATAGTATTCACGATAATAATAATTCGTTTTTAATAGAGACTATCGTCGTAGGCATTTAAGGACTGTTTAATAATTTTTCTCACATATATTTTAATTTATGCTAATTTTATTTGAGCATTTTTATTATTTATACATCTTCCATATTATCACATTGATTCCCTATTAGTTTCATGCTTTATTTAGTTTTGTCGAATTCTCATCATTTGAATTTTGTGAAAAATAATCGTAGAATAACCTCCATTATTGGATCATTTCAAAGGTTGAGTAAAAATCATCGTGAATTGAAAGATGCAATTATCTTTTTATAACGGTTCCCTTGAAAGTCGATATAAGATTTTTTCCCTCCATTTTATTCCTCTTCGAAGGAGAAATATATCGTCGACGTTGGAATTTAGTTCAATGTATCAGCAAGTTATTTAGGATATCTACGATGCGACGCATCTTATTCAATGCGGAATAATACGGCGAGAAAAAGTCGTTCGCCAACTTGTAAGAGGATTATTGTAAAGAAAAGGCTTCGATCTTCGAATTCATGACGATTTTAGTTGCGTGAAATAATTGTCAAGCTGTTTGAATTAGAATAAAAAGTATACGTAAGTCTAGTTCGTTCACAGAAGATGCGACAAATCGAATAAACCGAGGAAGAAATATATATATATGAAGGGACATAATCGCGAAAATTTCGTCGATTTCTGCATATATCGACGGGATAATTTAATACGAAGGATCAAAATCTCTGCCATTGTTCAAAGGAACGTAAAGTCCATCGATATTGGCTCGTAACGAAGCTATATTGGTAACTTCTGCCTGATCCATTAAGCTTTCTTGATTAAAGCGATTTGTAACAAGTTGTCTTGTTTGATACAAAATTGATTTTGCTATATTTATTATTCATCTTAGAATATCACGAGAGAATTTCTTTTCTCAAATTTTATGAATAATTTCGTGCAAATGTGTTGCGTTTCTCAATCTTTTCAGAAAGATTTTTTTTTTTTAAATTAAAATATTGTTTGAATTATATTATTTTACAATTTTCAACAAAATCGACATGATTATGGTAATTTCCATTGCATTAACATTGTTTTGCAATACTGTTTTAAACTTATTGAGTATTAAAACGTAATGAAAATTAAAGTTTTTTAATTCCTGGAACCATTTAGAATTGCAGCGTTATATAATATGTACGCGGTCATTATATCTGGAAAATTTCAATCTGCAACCTATTTCGGGAGGAATAATTTATAACTACGGTGAAACAGTAAATAATGCTATCTATTTTCATGAAACAGAAATATTCATATATTTGTAAATGGGATAAATTCGGATAACCAACCTTTATAATATATTTACTTAATCAAAAAAAATCAAACACGATCAATATATTTAGCAATCAAAATGCGTACATAAATTAACCGATAAAATACGAATAATATCGAATAATCGTGCAATTGCTCTAATACCTGTACTTTCTTTCGTCCAAACGAACTCCCATTTCCTTTGATATAAAAATTGGTAACGACAAATTTCGATTTCAAAATCGATCGTAAAACAGAATATTCGACAAAAAGGAAAGCAAGCTGCGAACTTAAAGATCTCTATTTAAACCTCGACCGATTCGCAACACATTCGTGCAAGATTTACCAAACACTCGCAATCGAGGAGAAAACAAATAAACCATTCGATTCAAAGTTTTCTCAATCGATAGGCAACAGCGCATTAAACCTCTTTCACACCGCGATATAACTAGCATCGCGTTTGTCGTATATAATCGTGAATATTGATTTACACACAGACTTGACTTAATAATAACGAATAATTCTTCGCAAAAGGGATTGATTTCCAATATTAATTTTTTCTTCAAAATTTTTGTTTCAGCTTTGCTAATGAATTATTGACCAATCACGTGAATGCGTGGACTCGTCGTTGTCAGAAGTAGTGTTGGCTATGCGTCACTAGCGAGTCGCCAAATTTGAACAAATAGCGAAATCAATATGTCTCGAACCAATAACGAATCAATATGTCAAGCGAAAATTTTCACAAAGGAAAAACACGTGATTCCTTGAAGTTAAGTATTAGTAGAATCACTGATTAAATCTTGTCGATTAATCGATTTTTGTATCTTAGCTTGGAATTAATTCTTCGAACGAATGTACGATCGAATTTACATGAAATGTGACAAGAGCTTTTTCACACAAACTGTGTGAAAAAGACTTTATAACCACGGGGAAACGTTTTTGGAAACCGCGTGTCAAGAATTTATTTTGTTAGATAATCGTTCGTAATCAAATTTTTATCTATTATTCATCGCGATGTTCGATCAAACAAACAACGATCTCGATGCAGGATGCTGGTTAAAACGGATTCACCGTCGACGGTGAAATGGCTGACTAATGGCGAAATATAAAGATCGCAGTCGCTAACATCGCCAACCGCTTTTATTATATAATGATTGTTCGATTTCGATTCATTCGAAACAAATATAAATACTATTTGTAATACTTGAATCGAGATGATGTCACGATTTCAAAAGAAAATTTTGAGCGTTGCGTTCTCGTTCACATTTCCATTTTTCAGGATTCGAGTTTTGAGCGTTTGGGAATGAACGATGCGTAGTTGGAAATTTTACGAGGACGAGAAAATTGAAAATCGGAATTTTTAATGGGAAGTTGGACGGTTTTTTTTAATCGAAAATTGAAACTTGAAAGAGATTGGAATCTTAAGATTGAGAATGCAGGAGATTGAAAATCGCGCAGTATGGAAATTTTAAAATGGAAAATCTCTGGGAAGAAGCTCGAAGATACATGTATAGAATTTCGATGTTATTCCTTAGCCGGTTTCTTGGAAAAACATCTTAGTTCTAAATTTGGAAATTCTTTACTTACTGAATACTTCAAATATCAAGATTCCGAGTTTGGCGTTTTTCGAAAGCCAAATAATTTTAATCCAATTTAATTTAAAGCCAATAATTCTTCAAGAAGCTTAATAATCGAAAACTAAAATTAGAATTAAATTATACCACGATATATCCTTCAATTCGAATGACTGACCAACTAGTCATTTGTGATAGTCAATATTATCGTCCATAAATAGAAATAGGATATCCGTATGAAAATATTATTATTATACCATTAATGGATCGTTGAAAATTATATCGAAAGATATAATCAAGGAGGGGAAAAAAAATAGAGAATATATTTCAAAAAAATTATTAATTCTTCTTCGATAATTCAGAATTAATTATATATAATAATGAATAATGTAATCATTCATCCCGTTCGTAAAAGCGAAATACCGTAGAATAGTTATTTATCAGAATTCAATAACATCGTGCTTCGAACAAATTTCCAAAGTATACTAATATACTATATTTCCGTTAAATCACGCAACGTTGCATGTATAACGGTGCACGATATTATTTAATAACATTTTCCTCGCAATAACGAACAGTAGAAAATATTAATTCTCTGTTACTTCTTAACGAAAACATGTTTCTGATAATTCTCGAACAGTTATTCATCACAGTGGCTGATAAAACGACTAAACGTTGGGTGGATACATTGATATTAAATCGCATAATCGCGGGTATATATATATATATATATATATATCGGCCACTGTGCACGTGCATTGTTTCCTATCAGTTTCCCGTGTTTCCATTGTTCGTTCGATATGTTTGCTTTGTTTCGACGACTCCGTTATATTCAATTATTCTCGAAAGATGAAAAATTCGATTATTGTTCGAATAGGATCAACTTTTCAACGATACATTTTTATTGGAATTTTAATGCGTGCATTAAAAGTCACTTGACTCGTCTGGATAAATTATATAATTTAAATTCGTGCAACATTTTCTTTCAACCGATTGTTCTTTCTCTTTTGACTTTTTCATCATTTCGCATAACTTTCTAAAAGTAATATTCGTTTTAAAATATTTTAAAATTCTCCTCTATTAGTTATTAATAGTTTTATTATTTTTTTTTTATTATTTCATTCCGTTACGTGCTCACGATAAAAGTTTTCTATTTTAAATCTATTGCGTGGCTATTAAAAGGAAATTAATCCGATAGGTAATCATTAAATATTAAATAATTCTCGTTTCGAAAGGAAAATTCCAATTGCACGAAATAAATATTAAATTGTTTCTCGTATAATTCATGTATAATAAGCGATCGATCTAATTATTTCTAAAATTTCTTAAACTTTTTAAAAATATAGCCAAGTTTAATACGCTCTTTCTCATTTCGTGTCGTTATTAAATTACGTTATTTTATTATTGTTTCTACAATAATATATTCCCTCGAGGAAAGATCCAAACGATATTTTGTTTCAATACTGTCCTTCGTATATACATATATATATATTTATTTTCGTTATTTATTAGCAATTCTCGTATCGCGTAGATACAAAGCAAGAAAGGAATACACATATTCCATTTTATCGATTAAACTTACTAATAGCGTAGAACGTTCATAATCATCCACGAGACCACTCCAACAATTGTTTATCCAAGGAGAACCTGAAGACACAAAATAGAAATATTTTGTCAGAAAGTTGCAATTTTTTTTTTCAAAATTCTAATCAACAAACATGTCTTTTTTCAACTAAGTTTAAAACAAAAACACCTATTAACAGGATCACAAAGGAAAGAAAAATCTAACTCGAATTCTTTTTTCATTCCTCCTCGTTTCAATTCTCTCTCGCTCGAACCGCGTTTCGAATAAAATCCTCTCGTACGAGAATCGCTCTTCAATCATGAACGAGCCGATTCATTGTGCCATTGTTAATTACTTGTCTGGTATTCCCCGTGCCTGACACACGATGTTCAAATTAATTACCGGAATCTATTACGTTTCTCGATGGGTACACCTTTTGTCATTTCCTCTCTTAACATCCGAACACGAGGAAAATATATCTCGAGAATCGGCTACGTATTCTTATTTCTTTACTTTTTTAAAAAGAAATGAAGAAAAAGTTTGATTGAATGTAAACAGAAAATTAATAAGAAAAGTGAAGTATATAAATGTTTTATTTTGGAATTGTTGCAGATTTGAAGTCGAATGATTATTCGAGCGGAATTGATGGGATTCATTATAGAATTACTCCAATCGCTAATAATGGCGTTGTCTGTACGAATCATTACGAGAGATTTTATTAATTAAGATTATACGATCGATGAAAGATTTCGATTCTCCATGAAATTTGCCACAAATTTGACTTATTAAATAAATAAGGAGGATAGAGATTAGGAAGAAGAAAACATTTACAATTATTATCTCAACGAATTTATATTTATAATCCTAATCTCATTTTCATCCCCGCATTCATTATACCATTTTCAACTATATAATCAAATTCGAGGATACTTTTGTTTCAAAAGAGAATAGGCCATATCGTTAAGAACATAGCCATATAATAGTTTGCATTGGGGAGATAAAATCGTATTAGGACAATGGAAGCACGGGTAATTGAGTTTCCATTGTATTTGGAAAAAGTTGCGCGCTACTAAACGAAAATCAATTTTTTTTTTCCTTCTCAAACGAAAAATAAATAATATCGATATATATTATATAGAATAGAAACGTACACGTTTTCATTATAATATTAATAGACATTAATAAAAGTGGATAATTATTATTTTAAGTCTGTCGACAGATCGTAACAGGTAATTTTAAATAAATAAATAAAATCGGTTACGCAAATTTTTACAGACTGTAAACGAGTTCATTGGTTTGCACAGAATTTAAAAGAATACATTAGGGAATTTGCATTTCGTTATAGAATAAATATTCTATATTCCATCGTCTTTCTTAAAGCATCGAAGAAAGTAAACGTTTTATCGAAAATTTTAATACTTAAAACATTTTTTATTGGATACGAAGAAAAAATTCAAGCTTTTCCAGATTTTCCATCTAGTTTTTATCTATTCCCTTTCGATCTTTGCATTATTTAATATCGTCTCTTTTAGTCCTTTGAATAAATATTTCTCTAGTTTCCATTTCCTACAAAAATCACCGTTCTGAATCATAAAACCGACTTGATTCCAGGGAAATTTTTCAGTAGATATTGCTCTTTCAATGTAATATTCAAAGCTCTGGTCATCCACAAATATCTTGTAATTTTAATAAAATGGAATAAATAAATTTCGAATTTAGTAAATAAATTTCATATAAAGTGTACTTTATATGACTTTGAATAGACTGATTTAATTGAAAGCAATAATAATTGAAATATCATGATGAATATTTATTATTTGCTTTTAATTCAAAACGATTTCTTTTTTCTTCATTTAAGCAAAAAAAATATTTTGAAAATCACACGATCAATTGATCGTGCATTCTATTTGATTATTTTCATTCTATCTATATTAATTTTTATATTCTTCTAAATGAATCATTACCTCTACGTCGATTAGTTTTTGCTGATTTGATCGATCGATATATCTTCGTTATTTTTATTTTATAACGTTAGTCGAGATATATAATTTCTATGATCGATATTTTTGATTTATTTGAATATATATATATATCTACCTTCTGAAATATTGACAGGTATTTTTGTATCACCTTGTATACTAAATCTAACATTTTATTTATTCGTCACGCCAAATTAATTTGGCACGTGTTAGCGTAAAATTGAATTATTAGATTTGGAAAAAAAAAGAAAAGAATAAAGCTGAAGCTAATCACTTCCCTTTATAATCTTATTCGTGCATAAAATTTAACATTTGATTTTGTTCAATGATAAACGCAATAAAAATTGGACTATCAGGTATTTTAAGTCGATATAGAAAAGAACTGGGATTTTGGACGTCAGCCATACATCATTTTAATGACACGAATGTGTCTGAATTCTGCAGCCCGATTTTAATGCGATTTTGGCAACGGCCGCGTGTGAAAATTACTGCTGATCATATTTTGAAAATAAATTCGATCCCTAAATATTCGGGTCAGTTTGGAAAAAATAAGTGCAAGATGTTGGAAAACGTTGGCATTTGTCATAATTAAAGTAAAAAATTTAATCAGACGACAATTAATATTATACGTTAATTTCTTTTGATAAATTATTTGAGGTGATTTAAAAATCATACACTTATATTTAATCATTTTGATTATATTAATTTTATTCTGAATTTTTGTAATATAATATTTACATAAACATTACAAATCATCGATTAATTTCTCGTATTTAATTTAATTTAATTTAAATCGTATGCGATCATATTGAATTTCAACAATGAAAAGAACTTTAATAGTGAAATTTCTCGAGACAATCCGATTTCTTGTCTCCGGTATTATTAAGACTTGATTACTTTGTCGCGTTTAATTTCCTTAATAACAGGATCATTCAATTGCCAGTCAGATCTAAATACGTCTAAAGACATAATTTCGAATCGTTGAAAGAGAAGATACGCAATCGAGTCTCGACCATTATGAACGAAGAATGTCAAGTACTCGTCTGAGCTATTCTGCATCGAGATATCGTAATTACGATGATTTTCACGGATTAACACACGCACAATGGTTTTTTTTTTTTTAACGTGTGACGAGCTTCTTCAAGTCTAATCGAGATAATACATCATATAACTTGAAACGATCTTCCTTCGTTGAAAAATAAAATTTCATTGAATTTCGTATTTTACAATATTTAAAAAGATCAAACAATAAGAAATATATTTTTATCGCGTAGTATCGATGCGACTATAGTTCTTATCTAATTAATAAAAATTAAATAATAGCGCATAAAATAAAATAGCATTTTAATCTTTAATAGTAAAAGTAATTTATGTTGCAGTTAATCGAAATCATTTCATAACGATATAGATACTTGAGAAAAATTTTAATTTTAATAAAAAGTTTTTAAAAATCAAACAAAATTAAAAAAGTTTTCTTATCAACTATAGTATATTAATTATGTATCATTATTTGATATATTTTAAAAGTTTTGGATATTGAAAATATTATGATTATAAACTTAAAAATAAAATTAAAATTAAAAAGTTAAAATTCATTGGTTCGTACGAATTTTTCCAATTCAAGATTTCAATTTCATGCAATGGATTTGTTGGATTTTTCATTAAGCAATGAAGAAATTGACAAACGATTCTGAGAATGAAGAACGAAAAATGATGAAAATATCGAAAGAACTTTTCAAAAGTTCTTTTCAAACAGATTTCAAAAAATGATTTCGACGCGATCATCGAATAGACAGTTTTATATTTTAAAAAATGAAAATTGCAAAATTGGTTGAATGAAATATATACGAAAGGGTTAAAGTTTACTTTAGAAAATTATTGATTTTTTACTTATTTTTTATTTATCGATAATTTTTGACATAATAGATGAAGTAGAATTTTAAAAATTCTAGTTTTTAAAATTCGTGGAATCAAAATATTACTGAAGAAGAGAGTAACGTGTGTTTGTATTTTTTAATATTATTCAAAGGACCAAAAGAGTAAAAATTTCTATCTCTAAATGCTAAATTTTTAAATTCAGCATTCAAGGATTTTTTTCATACATAATATTACTAATTTTTTGAATAAATAAAGTTCGAGATTAAAGTTAAAATACTGTGGTGAATTTTTCGATGCAAATTCAACAAAATTTTTATGGCTAACCGTCAGATTTTTAATCATGAAATTCGTTGCAAATATGTAATTCAAGTTAAAACAAACAACAATAATTAAAATAATTAAAATAGAGATTATTTTTCGTGTCAGATCGATAACACATCCGACGAAAGTTTAAATATATAAAATTCTGGCAAACATTTCAAAATAGTAATTTCAAAATGTTTCATAAAAATTTAAAATTAATAATTTTTAATATATATCCACGTTTCATTGTGTTTTATTTTTTTTTTTTTTTTTTTTTTATAAATTCCTATGATTCGCAATGATTAACTTCGAAGCTTGAAAGTAAGAAAAAAATTTTAAGAAATCATTACTATATTTTTATTTGTTGGAATTTTTAATAACAACGATTAATATAAGACTTGTATTCGAATTGAGAAAATAAAATTTTTACCATATAATTCTCTAAATAAATTTTATAAAAAAATTTATAATTGAAATTTTTGATTTTGGATTTTCGAATCCTTCAGTTCTCTAGATTGCAAAATTGGTTGAATGAAATATATACGAAAAGGTTAAAGTTTACTTTAGAAAATTATTGATTTTTTACTTATTTTTTATTTATCGATAATTTTTGACATAATAGATGAAGTGGAATTTTAAAAATTCCAGTTTTTAAAATTCGTGGAATAAAAATATTACTGAAGAAGAGAGTAACGTGAAAAGATTTTACATTTCTTTTCTAAAATTGAAACTTCAAATATCGTGAAAAGTTCGTCAAATATTGGTAGGAAAGTTGGTGGATACGACTATTCATATCTTGGAAATTTTTCTCACAGGAATATAGCTCCAAAATTGAATTTTTCAAAACTTAACATTTCCTTCTTGCTATTTCTCGTAAGGTATATCGATGCAAGATTTTTCATCTGATAATTTCTATGTTTCTA